GTCATCGTTTCTCCAAGCTAAAGAGCCCTAAGCGCCTTAACCGTTCCTCATAGGGAAAGTGTTCCAACCCTTTTATCATTCGAGTTGCCCTTTTCTGCACTTTTTCCAAAGCTATAATATCCTTTTTAAGGTGTGGTGACCAGAACTGCACACAGTATTCCAAATGAGGTCTCACCATTGATTTATATAGGGGCATTATTATATTGGCTGATCTGTTTTCAATACCCTTCCTAATAATCCCCAGCATAGCATTGGCCTTCTTTATTGCAGTCACACACTGTCTCGACATTTTCAGTGAGTTATCCACTACAACTCCAAGATCTCTCTCTTGATCAGTCTCTGCCAGTTCAGACCCCATCAATGTGTATTTATATTTAGGATTTTTGGCTCCAATGTGCATCACCTTGCACTTGGCCACATTGAACCCCATTTGCCATGTTGACGCCCACTCGCCCATCCTTGACAGATCCCCTTGGAGTGCCTCACAATCCTCACTGGTTTTCACCACCCTGAACAACTTTGTATCATCCGCAAATTTAGCCACTTCACTGCTTACTCCCATCTCCAAATCATTAATGAACAAGTTAAAAAGCAGTGGACCAAGTACTGATCCCTGCGGTACCCCACTGCTTACCACCCTCCACTGAGAAAATTGCCCACCTACACTCACTCTCTGTTTTCTATGAACTAGCCAGTTTTTGATCCATAAAAGGACTTGTCCTTCTATCCCATGATTTTTGAGCTTACTTAGGAGCCTTTGATGAGGAACTTTATCAAAAGCTTTCTGGAAGTCAAGGTAAATAATATCTATTGGATCCCCCTTGTCCACATGTTTGTTCACCCCCTCAAAGAACACTAACAGGTTAGTGAGACAAGATCTTCCCTTACAGAAACCGTGCTGAGTCTGCCTCAATAGGTTTTGTTCATCTATGTGCCTACTAATTCTTTCCTTAATAATGGTTTCCACCAATTTACCCGGTATCGACGTCAGACTGACTGGCCTGTAATTTCCCGGATCTCCTCTGGAACCCTTTTTAAAGATGGGAGTGACATTAGCTACCTTCCAATCCTCAGGAATGGAGGCAGATTTTAAGGAAAGATTACATATCTTTGTCAGGAGATCTACAAGTTCACATTTGAGTTCTTTCAGAACTCTCGGATGTATGCCATCTGGGCCTGGTGATTTTTCAGTTTTTAAGTTGTCTATCAGTTTTAGGACCTCCTCTCTCATCACCTCAATCTGACTCAGGTCTTCCAACACCCCTCCTGAAATCAGTGGTTCTGGAGTGGGCAAGCACTTCTCATCTTCCACAGTGAAGACGGAGGCAAAAAATGCATTTAGCTTCTCAGCCATTTCCCTATCATCCTTCAATACTCCTTTTACCCCTTGGTCGTCCAAGGGCCCCACTGCCTCCCTGGCTGGTTTCCTGTTTCTAATGTATTTGAAGAAAGTTTTATTGTTGGTTTTTACGTTTTTTGCTATATGCTCCTCATATTCCCTTTTTGCCTGCCTGACCTCAGACTTGCATTTTATTTGCCATAGCCTGTGTTCCGTTTTATCAGCCTCACTGTGACTAGCTTTCCACTGCTTAAAGGAATTCTTTTTACTTTTTACAGCCTCCATTACTCTGTTTGTTAACCATGCAGGCTTTTTCCTATACCTGTTTGTGCCTTTCCTAACCTGCGGAATATATATTTTTTGAGCTTCTAGGATCGTAGTTTTAAATAGATCCCAAGCTTCCCCAATTGTTTTGACCCTTTCTACTTTTCCTTTCAGTTTCCTCCCCACGTGTCCCCTCATATCAGAGAAATTACCCCTTTTAAAGTTAAAAATGGTTGTGTGAGTCTTTTTGGCCAATTCTCTATTTGTACAAATGATGAACTCAACAACATTATGATCACTGTTTCCAAGCGGTGCAATCACTTTTACATCTCTCACCAGGTCTTGAGTGTTACTTAGGACCAAATCAAGGATCGCCTCTCCCCTGGTAGGTTCCGTGACCATCTGCTCCATAGCACAGTCATTTAGAGTGTCTAGAAACTCAATCTCTTTTTCCCGACTAGAACACATATTGACCCAATCAATGTGTGGGTAGTTAAAATCACCTATTATTACACAGTGTTTTTGTCTAGTTGCTATCTTTAAGGCATTCATCATTTTATAATCCTCCTCTATCTTTTGATCTGGTGGGCGATAACAAACTCCCAGTGTTAAGTTTCCTTTTGGCCCCCCTATTTCAACCCATAGAACTTCCAGAAGCGAATCCAATTCACTTAGCCTCTCAATCTTTCTAGACTTTATACCCTCTCTGACATACAGAGCTACCCCACCTCCAACCCTTCCCCCCCTATCCTTCCGATATAATATATAACCGGGAATCACTGTGTCCCACTGATTTTCCTCATCCCACCAAGTTTCAGAAATACCCACAATGTCTATTTTTCCCTCCGACACCAAGCACTCCAACTCCCCGATTTTACCTCGGACACTTCTAGCATT